ATTCGGTCAAATTTCCACCACAGTAGTTTTGTGTGAAAGTTTACTGTAACTTTTTTTTGTAACACAAAAACAATATAACCACCCCTGACCAACCTTGAGATATAAATAACTTAGTATTTAACAACTTTTACAGTAAATTTGCACTTTGCCCTGGGCTCATTCACATAGTTTCTACCTGCAATGAGGTGTTAATCCATCAGTCTGACAGAGATCTTCAGGTAAAACACCAATGTTCTATTTTTTCTTCTCTTCCTCCTCTTTCTTCTGTACACCCTTCTCATTCGTCTCCACTTGATGTTCTGGTTTCTGTGCCTCCTTCCCCTCACTTCCTGCTGGCTGTCGGTTCGCGCTTTTTGCCATGGCCTTGGCTGTTTCCTTGCCTGTTGTCTTCAGAATGGCTTTGATGCCCAGATTGTCAATGTTGTATGCAGCCACACCAACATTGACCACTGACTTCAGAGCAGTGTCTGTGGCTTGGCCTGCATCATCACCATACCTTCACCATGAATAATAAGGTGCAGTTAGGGAAGGTGTAAGAAAATAAATGAGGTGGATGAGTGTGATGGGTGATATTGGTACTGTTGTCGTTCACATCAACACACCAAAGGTCAAGAAAAAACAGTCAGACTTCACTTTGTGGCAGTTTTATTAGTAACGTATCAGGAAAAAGGGGATACAGATGGTATGAACAGCAAGAGCACCACCACCCAACACATGCAGACGTTCAGCCACAGCAAACAAACAGGTAGACAAGCCCAGAAACACACACATAACAGAAGCTTAAACTACACCAAGTCAAACAAAAGAACCCAGAACACATACTTCATATGTACAGATAAGTTAATCAAAGAAAGTCCATTTTCAAAAACAACTCTGTGTTAGCTGTTAGATTTGGATGATAAGATTTCTTATTGAGGATTATTTTCTGACTTGATCTGGGTCAGTTGTTAGTTCACAAGTCTTTGCCTTTACTCCACCATGCAGTCATATGTTTATTAGCTTCTCTATGCCCTTAAACCTGAAATAGAAAGAAATCGGTGTGAGAGCAGATGAGTTTCCCAACGTACCAAGTAGAAAGCAACTCAGTAGTAACTGTTAGGCTGGTTTCTGATCCAGAACAGTTCTATTGTTGTTAAAAGAAGATTCAGAAATAAGTTGGAAACCAGATCTACAACAGATTATCAAAGATCAGAATATTTCTATCAGTTAAATAAAGAAGCGGGAATGGGAGCTTTCAGAACTTACTTGTACTTCATAGTCAAGACAGTCTCTGATGTAACACTTTTGCCAACAAGCTTTGCTCCAGTCTCCAGACTAGACCAAATCGTAGAGAAGCCTGAAAGTAATATTTGGATCACACATCTTTAAGCAAATATTTCGAATGCTGAAACATGACTTAATATTGTGACGTCAAATAGAGTTAATAATATGACACCAGTGTAAGACGAGGTACAAGGCTATAGGTCATATTATAACTTGCTTATATAATTGCTTGATCCGGAAATGATGGTGGTGTCTACCTTGTACGCTGCTGACTGCCACAAACTTAGCTCCATCTAAGTTGGAGGCACGGCCGTCTTTGCTCTTCTTCATAGATTCTGGGACGAGCTTAGTGCCATGTTTCTTCACATGGGGTGCCATCTTCTCTGCCACGTGTCCTGCCACCGTACTCACTCCATTAACTGTAAAGATACATAATTATACAGTATAAGCATACGTATTAAAAAAAGTTTTCTTCAGCCATATGTTAAGCTTGTTTACTACCCAAAAGCAGTTTGTATTCTTATCATCATTTTGTCCCTGAAGCAGATTTCTGGGTTTGTTTGTATGAATGATTATATCCTGTGTGGGATGATTTATATCCCTTACCCAGGAACTGGCTGACTCGCACAGCACCCCCGGTGGCCTGTTTAGCCACCTGCAGACCTTTGGTGACACGAGGGCTGACCTCTGAAGGCGTTTCCTCAGGTGTGATATGGTCACGGATCTTGGCTGCTCCTTTATGAATGGCCCTACCAGTGGCCTCTGCTCCTTTTACAAACTCAACACTTAGCTTTGCAGCTCCTAAAGACAGAAATATTATGGCTTGTAAATGTACAATAGCAATATCATGTGTTGTTGTCATTGTTGATTCTTAAAATCCCTACTACAGGCAATGGAAGCGGTAGTTGGTTGGGCACATTTGCACAGATAAACACCGCCCTCTAGTGCTCATGTTTGTAGACCAAGGACCATCTGCTGTATCTGTGTATAACACTGTGTAGAGTAGTTTTTTCCCTTTTGTTGTACTACACACCTGACAAGATTCCTTGTGCCATTTTCTCACTCCATCCAGGAAGTGGTGGTTTTTCCTTCTCTCCTGTCGGCACTGTCAGACCTGTTTGCTCTTTCAGGGGACCAAGGGGGATTTTCTCACTCAGGTTGATGACCTCTGACCCTGCCCCATCTGGACCCTGTCAGGGAATCCACTAAGTTATATATACACAACAGTTATCCTGAAAGGAGACACAGTAAGATGCTTGTTTATACACCCAAACAGGGTGTACATTCCTGTAAGCCATGACTAAGCTGTCTAGGAATGTTTTACCCAAAACTATTTTGTTTCAGCAAGTGCCAAGAGAGCAAAGTGACAGGTATTGTTTGTGTAAAAGCACCAGTGCATTTACAGCACTGTGGATGTTTTTGTTTAGACAGAAAAAGGTGATAATGCAAATGTATAGATATGTGTCACACAGTCAACAGTCAGGAATGAGATGCTGGATTATACTGTGCATTCATTTCAACACTCACACCCAACACCCTCCTTTTCTCTTCAAACACAGAAGAACACCCATATTGCTCCATTGACTCCACCCCCATCCATAGGTGTGGTCCATACTGACAGCAAAGACTGACCTGGATCCTGAGTTCAGCCAGCTGCATTAGGAGGTCCTTAAATGTCTCTCGGTCAGCAGCAGGCAGTTCGGAAGACAGCACTATACCCACGTAGGACCCCGGCGTCTCTGCCAGTGAGTCAGGGAACATGAAGATCCCAGAGTTAGCCAGTAGCACTGGAGTGTCTGCGGTCAGCGGGTACAGCCAGTCACACACCTTGAAGACACACAAAAAACAAGGAGGTCGGCCATGATGAATGCCTCTAGTTCAGAGGTCATTACCCATGTATCATCATTACCAAAGAGGCTGCATTCATTCTAACTGATCACTGGGTGTAGTTCACTACACATCCACTATTCTTTGCAATAACCTCAGATCTTTGACAAGCAGGACATGATGGCTTTTGAGTCCTTATTGTTTCCCAGGGGGTAATTCATTACATGGGAACTAAAAATCATCCCATGTCTAATGTTATTTTCCCAATTATCTTCATATGTAAGAGGAAGTTCTCTTGTGAGGCCCTGTCAGCCTTACATGAAAATGCATTGTCATTTCCCAGCAGGCACAGTGTCCTGTATTACTTTTGACCAAATGTTTTCCTCTTTCAAAGACTCATCACAGGATTTTAGCCCCATCAGGACTCATCCACACAGCCATCCACACAGATATATATAAAAAATATATAGACTTGATGCGGCATCGTGCCACTGGTATGCCGACTGACAGAATGACCCCTGTGAGGGCACAGGACACTGACCAGCAGCACAACAGAAGCGCAGAGTCATCTGTTAATGGGACCATTGTCTTGCCTGGAAACAAAGCAGGGCCAGAATATAGGAGAGCAGCCCAACAGCCTCGTCTGGTGGGAAACAGAGTCATGGGTTGCACTGCAGCATACAGCACCGAATAATATGCGCTTTGTAGAAGTCCAACAATACATTATTACTTTATTCATTAACTTACTGTGCCATAAGACTTTTTGCTGAAACTCCAATAGTTTTATTCTATTGGCATGCTAAAACAGATGAACAGATAGATTTCTTAGCATATACATATATATACACAACAACTATATTCTAATATCTTTATTTAGTTTAAAAAAGTGTTTTAACATCTGGCCAACAATCTCATTACAGTTAGATTATAAAGGCAATGAAGGCATTGTAACTAGATCTGAAATAATTACTAAATTGATCAGTTAGTTATAGTAGTTATTTGACTGAGAACTAAATGGCAACTATTTTAATAATAAAATAATCTTTTCAAGCAAAAATGCTAAACAAAATCAGTGGTTGTTGTTCCTCCAATGTGAGGCTTTTCTGTTTTTCTCTGCTTTATAACACTGTAAACTAAATAACTTTTTTTTATTGTTGGTCAGCATTTGAAGACATCATCTTGGGCTCTAGGAAATTGTGACATGTGTTTTTATTACTAATCTAAGAGGTTTCCATACACAAAACTAGTTGATGAATGAAGAAAATCATTCAAAGAGATATAATCTAAGTTTAAAACTCAGTTTTGACATGTTTTATCAGAATTTGTGCATGTGCTGTCAAACTCAAAGTGAACAATGGATACATGTACTGTATGATTATTAACACCTTTATTTGTAAGTAGAACATTTCTTCAAATCTACACATCAACATAATGACTCATAGTTAGTTATAAAACTGGTCTATTCGTGACGCCGTGGTTTTACCTGACGTAGTTTGCTGTTCACACCTACTCAGCTATGAGACACACACCCAAGGAAAATGCTTTGCTAACATACACACACAGATATTTATTATGACATGTATTATCATGGCATACTGTATACTTACATGTAGAAATGCAGAGGGTCTTTCAGTCTTGTGCTGACTGTCAAACGTCATAATGCGAAGGTACCCTGGAGAAGACAGGGAGCTGACCTGCCCATTTGGTGCCACGAAAAACATCTGCACCCCAGAGGGGATGACAAGCATTTCGCTTCCATCTCCTCCTGCTGCTGCTCCAGTCGGTTTTCCTGACCCGAGGCCACCTCTACCGGGACCGTAAGCCAGACTGCGGTGGCCGACTGTTGGCTGTGGTGTGTATGCTGGAGGCTGGTCCCCTGGATTAGCCATGGCTATAGTTCCTGATGCAGGGAGCGTGTGTGTGTGCAGAGCAGCAGGGGAAGGAGGCCTGACAGAGGGTGTTTTAGGGCTTGGGGTTTTGTTCTGCGTGGTGGCAGGTATTGTTGGGTACAAATGGTGGAGGGAGCTTTGGGGAGGCTGACTGTTTGGTGCCAGGTCTGGATAAAGATTGGGAGGAAGATCCATCAACAGGCGGCCCGTCTGGCTTCCTGTCGTCAGTGGAGAGGTCTCCAGATAGGAGAGGTGGGTGTTAACAGTTCTCAGAGTGTCGCTCATCCTTTGCTGAAGCTGCCTGGCCGTGTCCCAAGTCGCTCCCTGCTGTCTCTCCCCCCGAGTGGGAACTTCCATTCCTTGGGTAAGGTGCTGCCGACCTTTCCTGTAATACTCCAGGGCCTCCGCTCCTTTCCCTGCCTCTTCAGCAGCCTGCCCACGGCTCAGGGAATGAAACGCCAACTCGTACTGGTCCTTGATGAGCAGCAGCTCGGCAGGCTCAGCCATGATGAGGAGCAGACGGGATATAGAGGCTAGAAAGGAAAGAATGGAGGCAGAGAGGAGTGATATCTCCAAAGTGAGACAACGTTTGATCTGCTGTTGGTTTTTACAGTATTTACATTAATTCTAATAAAGGTATATAACTGACATTATGCATTGGTTGTTTGTTGTTTTCCTATTTCCTACAACACATAAATATTAAACATTGACTTATTAGTGGACCACGGTTTGTTTTTTTAACTTACACTTCAGTTAGCTGGATGGGAAGCAGTTGGGATTATGAGATTAAAAAGAACTACATGAATAAAGAGTACAAAGAGGAGATAATGTAGGTGTCACTGAGATAAACTATGTGTGAAAAGGAAACTAAAAGTTGGTGGCATTCCTTACTGACAGAGGTGCATGGGCTTCAGGGCAGAGCAGATGCATTAGTGTGAAGAAAATCTCTGTAATGTAGGCCTGATTGTTGTTGGCGGCTTTCACAGGTTGTGAATGTCCTGAGCTGACAAACACATCAGGTTTTACCTGAACAACAAGCCTATTCTGAGAAGTGTTCTCTAGACATTTTAAAGTACTAGTTTACACATTTATTGTTAATCTCAATATCAAACACCTGTTGCCTTTCTGAGACATCACTGCCTGATCAACAATAATACAATTTAAATCTGGCTTACCTTGACAGGCCAACTTTAATTTCCCGGGAAAGAAAAAAAAAACAACAATAAACAAGTGGTTTTAAAGAGTCCTTATTTCGGGTTTCTAAAGTTCTTCTGTACTTTCATAGATGTAAAAAAAAATAAATGTCTCAAATAGCCTACTCATTTCAATGCGCTCACTTCACGCACTAGTTTAATCTGTCGCATCCCCAGCGGATAAACACGAGCGTCAAGGCAACAAAGCGTCAAAAATGGCTTCCGGCCAACACTTTCAAAATAAAATCCACAGGTTGCACGTAACAATACTAACTAACTATACTAACAAATACAGCATTTTTTAAAAGGACTCTGAGATAAAGCGAACACATCTCCTTAAAGTGTAGTAATTAGTCCTTTCAGTCACACATAACCTGTTCATAGAGGGATACATCTCACTTGGGCCATTCAATATAAAAAATACAGCTCACGAAAAAATGCTTGAATTTATTTATCTAAAAGATGTATTTCATGATTTAAAGATATCATTCTGAACATGTTACAAGTATATATTACACAAGTAAGTATATATTATATTATAATGACTTACCAGCTTTAAAATCCTTTTGTGTCAACACTGCAAATATTAAAATTCTTCAATCATGAAGTATGTTTTTTTTAATCATTTATTGTGTTTGCATAAACTATAAGAAAAAAATGTTCAAGGTGATGTCCAGAGGGGTATTGGTGGTAGAATCAGCTGTGGTTGTTTTGTTCACAGTCTAATTATGTTTTGGCAGAAGCGTCAGAAGAAGGGTGGAGCAGTGATTCATAGGAAAGGCAGAACAGCAGGTGGAGTGATCACTGAAACGTGACAATGCCTGTAAATGCAGAGATAAAAGTCATTCATTTAGTGATGTAAATCTGTGTCCTGGATACGTTAACAACCCAAACAAACTATCACGAAAGATCCCAAAGGCCTATACAAGTATTTAGAAATGTATGTGTATGTATATACTGATATACTGTGTATATATATTTATTTTTTAAAAACTAGAATCTGTGCCTTACTTTGAGGTCTTATACTTTTCCCTGATGGCCTGTTGTGGGCGACTCTCTGCACTGATGTACAGCTTGTGGAGGTCAGTCAGGCAGGGCACAATATCAGCCATGGTATAACCGGTAAAGGCATGTAAGGAATCGGGCTAAAATATGAAAAAAAAAAAAAAAAAAGCCTAAAAAGTCATATTTTAGCTAATTTCTTTTAAAATTCTTATAACAGGGACTTTTAGCACTCAGATACAACAACATGGGACTTACCCAGAGAGATTTGTTTACAGTGTATGTTGCTAGGCAGTAGGCTCCTGCTGCCACTGTCGATGGGGTGTACTGTAGGAATGGATCAATTTCAAGCAGGCTTAACTCTGCTACATACTAAAAGCAGAAAAACACACATCGCCAAATAAAAATAAAATCAAGGTATGTGGAAAAGTGTCACCTCAAGAGGCAGTGGGCATAAACCCATGGTCTGGCTGGCATTTGAGTCACAGATTTTTCTCACCAGGGCAATGTTCTCTGTGATGGTACAGACAGAGTGTATGGATATGAAAAGGCGAAGGAACTGGTTTGCGGTTGGGGCTGCCATCTTGAAAGCCAGCACTTTCAGAAAAACATTCTCCATCCGGATCAACTGCTTCTTCGTGTAGGTGCTGTCTGTGGTGTACACAAACTCATTCAGCTCAGGAGGGAAGATCTCCTCGTATTTTCTACAAGGCGACAGATCAACAGACGTCAGTTTCTGTTTTACAAATCAATGACTGGATGGGACAGGGAAAGTATCAGATCTTTAGAATCACAAACATTTGCTTACGCAGCAATCATTAATGCAGCTGTGCCGACCAGTTGCAACTTTCCCCGTCTTACATATGCTGTGCAAGAGAGAAAGCGGTCCAAATAGTTGACAGCAAGGTGCAGAGTTTCTGAGCGAAGCTTGTATTCCTGGACGACTTCCACCAGCCAGTCCACCAGGATGACTCGCATGCACTTGGTGATCTCTGGATGTTGCTCCAAGTAGCCTGGCCTCGGCCTGAACCTCATCTGGCATTAGAAACAAAAGCTAGTTATACTGAAATATTTCCAGCTAACCAAGGAGAAAAACCTAATAACTACTACACATTTATATGAAAGAAATTATTTGGTGCTTATAGTTCAGATAATTACGCACTTCACTCTCCCTCAAGTGCCGGTGAATGTCCTCCGCATACTCAGAAACACACAGCACCTCCTCTGACGTCAGTGATTCATCTGGTTCAGACTGCATAGAAGCATCTTGGCATGAATCTACAAGAGTAACCAGCAGTTTGGTAAGAACAGAAGAGCAACAAGTGTTACGTGTTAGGTGTTTTTGTATTTGCCAAACTCACTCAAACTCAGTTCCAGCAGGAGTCTCAAATCTTGATTTTGCAGTGCAGCGGTTTCTGTATCTAAGTAATAGCTGTTTGAGACCACTTCTTGACCGGAAGCAGCAAGAACAACTTCACAAGCCTCTTCGACGTACACATCATAGCTGGAACTGGAGGGACAGCCCAGGAAGGTGAGCTGGGAGTTGTCTGAGATCGAACTTTGTTTGGAAAACTGGTTTCCCTGTGGAGAGAAATGGGACAACATGATGGCCGCATTAAGTTGAAATGTAAATGTTCTTCTCTCACTCACCTGGCTGAGAGATCGACCACGCTGCTCATTTTCTGGCAACACACCGAGCACCGTCCGCTGCTTGGTCCACTGGAACTGCGGGGCATCTGTTTTGCTTGAAGGTGGAATATTTTCTTTGCTAGTGTGACCACCGCAGTGGGCATTTGTGTTGAAGTTCATCTTTAAACAAGCAGATGGGGAAAGATAAGGTGATAAAAGGCGACTATCACGGTATAAAGGAAAGCCAAAATAACAGAAATTTAATTGAACAGGTACATAAATCATTACTAAAATGATTCAAATTAAAAAATCAGCCCATTTTTAAGCAGCCTGTCCAGCAAAGGATAAAAGCCCTGTTTTATAAACTGTAACATGTCTAGCATATTTAGTTTACACAAAAACGGGCCAGTAGTATTTGCACATTGCCACTTAACTCCTGCTGCTTGACTTCAGGCAGTAACCATCATTATGAAATTACTATTAGGCACAGAAGAATAAATACTGGCCCACAGACTGTAGGGTAGTCCTTATTCCTTATTACTTACTCCATAGACTCATGGAAATTGGACCACACCACTGTCTCCTTCCAAGCATGTGGCCGTGATAAAATAAGGCCCTATCTAGAGTACAGACTGTATAGAGTCAGTGTTTGGTTTGTCCATTCTGGGCTACTATAGAAACACAGCAGACTCCATAGAAGAGGACCCAATCCATCGAATATAATAACAGCTTATTCTAAGGTAATAAAAACACAACAATTCTCTCTTTTTGGGTGATTATACACTAATAAGAACATACAGTTGTGAATTATACTTGCCATTTTCTGCCAACTAGATCCTGCTATGATTCACACACTGGACCTTACATAATTCAGCTTTTTGGTTAAAATAACGTAAACCAAATGTGAAAAAACACCGAATTATAACAGTGCCCAGAGCCCAAGGGGATGTATTCAGATTGGTTGTTTGAACTTCAAAAGAGAGCATTACATTATTACACCTGAGAGGGGACCAGTGAATGTTTGGCAATACTGTTTGAAAAATGATAATGAATCGATTTTAATTGATTAGTAGTTGCAGATCTGCAGGTAAAGGTCCAAAAATAGATAAATAAATAGAAAAGTAGTCAGCTTTTACTGAAATTTACAGGAAAATGTCCCCGAAAACCTGGAAATCAGATGTTTTCCTCTTTCTGCACAGAGGTGCACCTGAAATTGTCATCACCCATGGTGTACAATAATTAACCACTCCACAGACCAGACCAAGCTACCAGAGCAGCAACGAGCGCACGAAACAAAAAAAAAAGTTTGCCACTATAAGCCATTCACTTCAGTGTATCACAGAGCACAACAATGCTTTCCCCGGTCGGTTTCAAACTAAAACAGGTTTATCTGATCCTAACAGCAAACTCACCATAATCAGGACCAGCGTACTCAACAGTTCAACGTAAAGTTAAAAAGGTGGAAACTGTGTCATTCCACTAACGACCTACTCGGTGTAAGTACCACTAACTTTCTTATGTGTTGCTTAGTTGGTGACAAACAGCGACCTCTCGCTGCGTACAAGCGACTTAAAGCAGCTTCCTGGATGTCCGATGTTAGTTGTTTGGGGTTTTTTTTTTTTTTCAGGTTGCCTTGTGAACTAATCAGCTGTTTCCTCCGAACGCCTCTCTGACCAATCACGTGCCTGAACGCAACAGCTGACAGTTG